AGATAAGGACGATAGATGTTTGATAGGAAAGAAGGAGAGATCAGGACGACAGATGTTTGATAGGAAAGAAGGAGCAAACCACACCAGAGCATCAACCAACCACCCACAGACTTCGTGTCTTATAGCTACAGGGTAACACACTTAAATAGAACATAATACGTACATGTATAATAATACTAATGCCAAATTACAGCAGCGAACAACAACACGACAGATAGAAAAGTTCAATTTTTCTCCTTTTTTTTCCAACTATGTTTGTACCGTAAGCTACTGATATCAATAATAACTGATTTTACAACAAGTGAAGAGAAAAAAAGATCTTTCATGCGTTCTGTAGATATTTCAGCAGAAAGTAGATCTAATTCTAATGTTTGATCACAAACCTGACAGACTGTAAAAATCATAGGCTTGGTCAAAATCATAAGCAGGAATTGAGGAATGTCATACAATTATAATCATAAACACAATCTGAAATTTGGAAGATGAAAAAGGTTGAACTTTGAGATTGATTTACGAAAGCGTAATATAGTAATGGGTCAAGAAGTAAAAAGTTTGAAATCGAGTATAACCACGTTCTGTGTTTTCCGCCAAATGTGGTATTTGATTGCTTTTCCGACTGTGCTGTAAACAAACTGATGTTTCTAAATAGGATTTTTTAAAAAAGAAATGTTCCCTCGCTTTGCTGAGGGGAAAGCCAGAATTCTTTATTGATTACAATGTATAGTTATAGCCTAACAAGCATGTTCCAAACCATGTTTGGGTGAGTTTTTCTGGGGAGGGGGGTTCCTGGCCTTAGGTCTTATAATTTGAGACAGAAGTGTTTGAGGTCACAAAATATAAACAGATATAATAATAATCATAATCATAATAATGATATCTGTAGTAATAATAGTAATGTTAAATTCATTTTTTCGTATTTAGCTCGATAGATGTATGTCACAAAAACAAAACAGCTTTATGGTTCCCGATGAAGGGCATCATTTATTATTAAAATTCCTTAGCAATTAATGCTAAGTTTATGTAGGTTCTGCACCAGGGAATCTGTAGAGAGCAGCCGTAACACTTGACACTTGACGGGTTAGTGCCGCTGCTTGAAGCTGTTTCCTTTGGCAGCTCTGAGACTGACCGGGATCTTGGTTGGAAGAGAAACTAGAGAGAGGGAGAAAGGG